TTTTACTCTCTGAAATTATTTTGGCTTAGTTGTAATTTATTCACAATTATGTCTTGGCTCTCCAAGCTGACAAACACATCTTTTCACCTTGCCTCATCTTATCTGCCTGAAAATAAGAACCATGGCACTGTCCTTCAGGAGTGATTTGTTTCAGCCAGTGAGACAATATTATAACCCAACTCTACTTAATCCCCATTGAAACAGTACAGTCCAGATATGCAAGAAAGCAAAATGTTGATCAACAGGGACCCCTGGGCACCTTTGCCTGGCCATTACATGCCATCTCCATTGAACACCATCCTGGAGATGAATTACATCATCAATGGAGAAATTAATACAAGGCGGAGGGAGGTGTCAACTTTAAGCAAGTCTCTGCCAAGCTTGGCTTTCTTTTCCAGGGTTGCACTTATGATCAAATGTCAACTCCTGGTTGTGGATAAGAGACTGCAGGCTGTTAAGTGGGGAGCCCCAGATCTCTGGCAGGAGAGCTTCTATCAGGTCGTGGCTGCCTAGTCCTGTTGGTCATGCAGACAGGATTCCATTTACTTGCACGCAGTGCCAAGCCTCACACAGTCTTTTCATAACTCAAGCAATTTCATGCACAGTTTCATTCTTTCCATAGTGGGGAGGGGGACTTATTGCAAGAAAACCCGATCCAAAATGATCAAGGTGGCTTAATAACACAAGGCAAATGGTAGTGCTATGGCCCTGCTAGACAATAGCAAAACACATTCAGATACGCAGCTCAGACCTTGCTGCATTACACATGTAATTAGGTTGTTTCCATGGTAATGATCTAATTATGGTCTTCTTGGCTTTGTGTAATCACATTTGCTGCTTTTTGGCAGAGCTGTTTTCCTTATTTTTGAACTGCAACACTTGGCAAGATGTTCTTTCTAAAGCTGAATAATAATTTTGCCTGATGGAAACCAACAAGTCTGTGAGCTTTTATTTAAAGGGTTGAAGATACAAGACAAAACTATATATATATATAGCATATATATAATATATATGTATATATAAAGAAGGATTTTTTTCCCCGTAATTTCTGTTCCTCCTTCCTTCCTACTTTTTTTTTAGCAAGTGCTTAAAATAATGACTTATAGCAGTGGCTCCCACATGGGATGGGATACTTCAGAGGCCTCTCTTCTGCTCCTGGGGCTAGTGATGGGCTGACCTAAGGGCATAAGATTTCACGTCTCCCTGCTTTAGTTTCCTTCTCTGGGAACAATGATACTGACTTCAGATGAAATGTATACACAAAATGTGTATTATTTCTACTAAGCTATTTTAGCTCCTGGTAAGCCAGGTACCTTAGAGACAGCTGGTGAAATCCTGGCTCTGTAGAAGGCCAAGGGCAAAGTTCTTATAGATTTCCACAGTACTGCAATTTCCCATGTGGCTCTTCAAATACCTTAGAAAAAAACAGATAGATACAAAAAGCCAAATCTAGCAGCCTTGACCAGTATGGATCCTCCACCCTGCTGCCCCAGAGCTGAGTGAGCAAGTTGGCATTAGGTTTTGGTGGCACGCGGAGTATCTCTCTTAGCTGCCATAGCACTGCAGGGAAACCTGACTGTGGGATCTGCTGTTTACAAGTGGGATCCCCTTCACCAAGCCCACGCCCCCTGGCAACTCTGCTTATTCCTCTGTGTTATAGGTTTTAGGGAGATGCAGAGTTCAGGACTCTGCTAGAGCAAATACTTACAGGGATTTATCATTGTCTGTGTCTGTTGTGCAGGAGAGGTGCTTCTAATAGCCTATAATCTCTCCTATGGCAACTCTCTCCTTGAAGTCAGCTGCAAGATCTGTCTGTTAGTTATCACTTAGAAAGATTTTTAAAGCTTTCTTGCAAAACAAAAGATATATTTCTGTCTTGAGCAATAAGGGATCTGGGGAAAGACAGGAGATGAAAGGTCAAACAAGAGGAGCTTGTGAAATCACACTGGAGCAGAACTGCAGGCTGTAGTCAGCCAGGAGCTTGTATTGCAATTGACAAGGCTATTCACGAAAAGGTTTTTTGATTGGAGTTGCCATGACAATAGAAAACACCTAAAAAAAGATCTATGAAATGTTATATCAGCATCAAGCCAAGAAGTTAAGCCAAGTCTACACTCAAGTTATTTCTATGAATCAGTAACTTTCATAGCAGTACTGCTGAAAGAAGGATTTGGTCCTCTGATTTTGAAGATTTGGGAAAACAGATATGAAATGTAAATTATGACAGAAAAGATTTGTGCCATAAAGAATTTGCTGTGGAAGGATGCTGGAAACCTTGACAATACTATTTACAGCTCTTGCTTATTGTACTGAATATACACACAAGACAACAGGGTCCTCTGATTTTGACAGGGGGGTATAGCTGCTCTCTGAATTAATACAACACCCACTCTGCATCCTCTAAGGATTGAAATTTCCATCTCTAAACCATAAAAGAGAGATTTCAAATCCAAAATAAGTGGCATAGAATTTCAAGGACACAGCAAAAACTTATTCACTTTTGAAAGCAGTGTTTTCTCAAGATATCAGAGGTGAGAAGAAAAACTCATGCTGCCGTTGTTTTGAATGAATAATGATGTGAGGGTGTTTTTTTTTAGTTCGATGCCCCTCTGAGCACAAGATCCTCAGAGCTTAAAGCAAGGACCAGAGTTGTCCTCTGCTGTTTTTTGGGGCAGGCAGCGGAGGTCTGCAGAACTGACCATGCTGTTAGCCCAGAGAATGTAAGTTATGCTATTGCGCCATATGATTTTGTGATACGTTCATCAGAAAATAAAACTAACTGTGATTAGCTATTGCCAATGAAGTTTTAGCAGATTGACACTTCTCAAATGCCAAGATATACCCAAATAAGCACAAAAAGAAATGCTTGTGAATGGACAGGCAACTGCACAGCACTCATGGTGAAAGTCAAATAACAGCAGTGAGGTGAGGTGGGATTTCAGGTCTGCCCTGTCACTGCACCTAGTGAAGTGAATGCCTTTTCTGAGGACCTTTCAACAGGTCACAGCTAATTGACTTCCACATCTCCCCTGCAGGGCAGGTAAGTATGAAACATGTACCCTGCTGGAACATCATTCTTCACTGATACACAGCCATCTCCTGGATGGGATGATGTATCAGCTGGTAAATGGGGCAGAGTCTTAGTAAGACATTCTGTACCTCAGGTACCCTTCTCCCCTTCCTCCTGCCCTGCTTTTCAGCCAGCCAGAGCAAGGACGAGGAGGCTAGCAATCAGCTGGAGGTTGACAGCCCCGAGGTTGTATGGAGAGCAAGCACTGCGGTTGGTAGGGACCAAGCTGCCGCAACCTTGCTTGCTCAGGGCCGGGGCTTCTCAGAAACATCTCACCACAAGGCCCTCAGTGGAAACTCTACAGAAAATCCTTCAATCGAGGGGCAGCCCAGCTCTCCCAGCAAGTGCCTGGGGCTGAGGATGAACCGCCTGAAGGGGACAGATTGGGTCCTCTTTGTATTTCGTCCATGCAGTACAGCAGTGTACTATGCACACGTAACAGCACAACACGTACATACACATACATATACAACATAACCATGTGGGATATTGTCTCCTGTCTCCTCCCTATCTAACAGCAGAAGAAGGGACAGGCTTGTCTCCAGACAACAATGGCATGTTAACAAGAGACCTGCTCACTGAAACTGCTGCTTCTTGTACTTTGGCTCTGGTTGTGGTATTGGATAATATGGAACTGCATATTTTACTGTGCAGACTGCACAGACATCCCTGCAGTGCAAAACTTCGTGCACAAGCCGCAGTAATCACTATCTCTTGCCTTCAAGGTATTGCACACTTGTAGACTAAAATCAGAGCTGAGGATCCTGTCCTCCTTTCCACGAGTATGCAAATTTCATTAATGCCCCCAAGGTTTTAATGTGTGCTGCAGAAAAGACCAGACCCCCCTCAATTTATTTTGCTCCTGTTTCCTTCTTTCATAACCCAGATATTTGCATAATACAGAGCAACAATGCCAAGCGCTGAATGCCTCCATTCCTCCTGCACAGGCTCCATATGCTGCCTACCTCTGTCAGTCCCGGGGAGCTCTGCAATTGCAGGAAGACAATTTTCAAACTGTATGCGTGTAAATTAGAGCTGACACTCTGCAGTTTTAATTCACGGACTGAACCTAATCCTTGCTCACACCCTACCCATCAGATAACCTTAACACCATGATCAATACCGCCAGATAATTACAACAAGTAGGAAAGCTAAGTGCATGTTTCCAGGTTTTTTCATCAAAACAAAGTCCTAATGGTATGTTCCTGCCAAGGCTTATACAATTCTCCTTCGTTACACTGAGAGCTCACATAAGCCTAATACTGTATAATACTTCTTATGTGAATACTCTTAATGAGAAATTCCCTTTCGTCTAAATCTAGCTCATCTATCTTGGTTTGAATCTCTAATTCTGTATGTGTAGGGGGACAAAACTGTCCCTCTGTTTCCCTGTTGATCTACTGCCAAATCCACTAACTTCAACAGCTAGAATGACTGAGAAAAATGAAAACCTGGTCCATGAAATTTCAGAGATTCCACCTTTGGGTTTCATTGCTAAAGATGGTTGATACAATTTCCCATTGTCTCCTGGTCACTTCAGATCTTGTTTCTCAAACATATGTTGCCCTTTTGCTCTTTATATATTTGCTTTGCTATTGGTTAGGAGAAGCTTGTCCTATGCAGACATTGCCTTAGGAAGAGATACTAGCAAGCAGAAAGCCATTTCACACCGCCCTGGGAAGAATGAATCAACTTAGAGACATCCTGATTTTTTGTGTCAGGTGGAGCACCAAGGACACTGTTTCTGACCACAAACACTGACTCCCATGCCAAAAGGATAGGGGACCACTCAAAGCACAGTGTCAAGTGAAGCATGAGCATTTTTCCCATTTTCACTTTAAGTTATACAGAAACAACAGGGTCCACAAAGCATGCATCAGGGTACCTTGATCAGGACCTAAGCAACAGCTCAGTGTTAGATTATTCTCACCTCTATGCAGCAGAGCAATGCAAGTAGGTGAATCCTCTTCCTTTGAAGTGCAATGTCCAACCCTGACTTTTAGGATGTCTGGAGTTAAACACCAGTAGTAACCCTGCAGTGAAAGAAAGCAAAACGACTGCAGTCATTGACTGCACTGCTATAAATTCTCTGGTATAAGAAACTTTCATCTCTGTACACAGTTGTGAAGAAGCTATCATGAACATGGGCTCTAGCACACATACACACACAGAGCATATGCACACACAGAGAGATCAATAGGTTGCATATGGTGCATGTGGCATAATTCATTACTTTTCTTGAAGGCTGTCAGATATTTGAGATGTATTGGGTGAGAAGAGTACTGGGATAGTCTTGTTATTAGTCCACAGCTCAGCTGCATTGTAAGATTTACTCTATGACATTGCTTCCAAAACTTGTAACCTTTCAAATCAAAGGAACGTCTCAGACTCTTGAGTTTTTGCTAGTCGAAGGTGTTAATGATAAAAGCAGAAGCCTGAAAAACGGACATGTTAGACAATTATTCACAACTGTTTCTCAGCCAATGTGCTACCCTATAAAAATTAAACTGGAAAATATATGGTGCTCCCAGCTGTCTCGCTCATATCCGTACATTATCTGGTTGGTGCCACTGAGGGTGGTGTGATGAGGAAGCTTCATTTTGTCCATCTGTGGTGGATGCTTCCGAGGACTGCTTGCTAAATGATCAGGGTATGGATACTATAGGGATTTTAGCTCAACCACATCCATACTGGAGAGGAAGGTGTTTTGGTGAACACACCCAGGGCATGACAGCCTTAGTGAGCCCTAGACTTCAATCCTAGGAGGACATAAATGGTGCTGGTTTGAGAACATTTAGGGTGGTGTAGTAGACGACTATGGTTGTTGGCCGCATTGACATTTTGCTTCAATAACACACACACAGCTGTCTCTTGGGTTCTTGCCAGCTGTTGCCAGATGTGACTTAGCTTTTGCTAGGATAGGAAGGAGAAAAACGTTATCCCCAAAGCTGGTTTGAGTGTCTGTAGAAACAATTTTTCTCTGCAAAGGTTTGTGTTATTCAGTTGTTCCTTACTGCAAGGCAGTAATACTGTACAGGTTTTTCATGCATCAAAATTCCTCTGAAGTGCATGGCAAAAGCATAGTCACACACTCTTGTGTCACTGTCAGGAGCACGGGCCACCACGGAGGTGGTGTAGCAAGTGTTGTCACAACCTGAAAAGTAATTTATGCTAAAAGAGAGCCAGTGTGTGACTGACTGGCAGGCTGCAGTTGGAAAACATTTATAAAAATTTAACCTTCCTTCACTATAAAATGTTTGTTTTCATTTATTTTGAAAAGTTTATTTTCAGTTTTGTCCAATTACAGCCTCTCTTGCAATGAGCTTTCGTTTCAAGCCGCACAGTTCTTTCATATTGAAATTTTTCATTTGTAAAATATCTAAAGGCACATTTCAATCACTGAAAACCCTTTTCCTTCAAAAATATTGAAAAAATATTGCTTAAACCAGCCACTAAATGTTTCAGTATCTGCTATTCAGTGATTTCTAAGTACAACTGTTGACAGAGTCTTAACTGCTACTATAAAAAATTAACCTGGAAAATCCTTTGCTCTTTAGGATAGGGGTCAGGATAAGTATTCAACGAGAACACAACAAACATGAGACTGACTTTTAACACTGGGTGTGCTCTTTTTTGTACTTATTACATCTGTATCTATACTGTAAATAGGGGATCAGAGTTTCCCAAAATAGAAAGACCCCAAAACAGGGCCTAAGTGGCCACTGTGTTTGGTTTGCTCATTTGTGTTTTAATGAGTCCCAGATGGAAAGGTTATTCTCCACTGTGTTGAGGAATCTGAGGCAAAGTGCGCTGCAAATTGTGGTCACTGTGAGAGAATATGTTTGGGTGAATATGTGACTTTGCAAAAAAGTAGTGAAACTTCCTTGTTACATATGGTGATGGGTTTTCTTTGTGGTTAAAGTCTTTGCAGTATCACCAAAGAAAGGAAAAGAAAGATGTTTGATGGATACTTCTCCATATTTCCAGTAACCCTGTCCATTTTCAGAAAACAGTCATAACTAAAACACATACAATGCTTCAGTATTTCAAGGTGCTGGTTGCAAAGGTCTCATTGGCCCTGCTCCTGCAGGACTGCATGTTCTGGGAAATGCCAGCTGCCTCCCGGGCATCGCAGCCTGTCCTGCCTGAAGGTGACAGAGCAGGATACGGTTGCAGGCTCCCAAAACCCCAGCCTATCAAAACCACTCAACCTGCATTCCCTGACACACCCCTGCCTTGGAAGGATTTTGTGTCCAGGAGGAGGGACCATCAGAGGTGTGCAGTTTGGATGCTGTTAGCTGTGGGTTAAAAAAAGCCTGGCAGCAGTGAAGTGTCTGAGGGAAGCCCATTAGTTAAGAGCTGGGGCACCCAATGCTGTTCTCACTAATGTCTTCAGCGCAGGACAGGGCTGCAATCAATTTCATAATAAATCAAACCCATTTTCTAATATGAACCGATTTATCTGCCAGGCAGATACAAGTCATTATTAGAGGCTGAGATCAAACTGAAAGAGACGTATCGTATTTTCAGCTTCTCCTCCTAACTTCGTATCTCCAAGGCACACTCTGCAATCACTTGTTCACAGCCGTTTACCCTCCCTGGAGACTTCTTCTTCAGGAGACTTTCATTTATTGATGACGCAGACACAGCAGGAATTATATATGTAATGCCTAATACAACAGCTTTAAGCCTGAAACTAGCACCTTTCTTCATCATTGTACAATATTTATAGACACTGGATAAAAAGATTATTTGAAAGTCTTGATTTACAGCAGAACAAAGAAAATCACGGTTTACTAAAACCAAGCCTATGTTATGACTTTATCTCTGTTCATTGAAGCTACAGCTCTCATGGAGACACTCAACTTAAAGCATTAGCTATGGTAAACAAGATAGGAGAGAGATCTGACATTGTTATTTATAGAAGAAATCACACAGAGTTGACTATAAAAATGATTAACACCTAACAAATATGGATAGCATTAGTCTAAAGTTACACAGAAGAAACAAAGGAATCTCTGCCTTGAATGGTCATTGTGAAGCACAGGCTCAGGCTTGTGAAAAATGCACGTACACGTGAGCAAGGAGCTTGGATCTCCTGGTAGCTGGGAGCCTTGGACTGCACCAGATTAAAATACACCAATGTTTAACTATTCATCTGATGTTACAGAGTGGCACAGTCAGCCATGACCACTCCCAAACAAGCAGAGAATATTGATTATCCCATTCAGAAGTGTGAAGGTGTTGCTGAAAGCAAGAATAATAACTGTGTTTGTTTAGCCTTGGGAAAAGAAGGCTTAGGGGAGACCTTTTCACCATGTTAAAGTATTTAAAGGGTGGCTACAAAGGAGATAGAGACTGTCTTTTTACAAGGAGTCATATGGAGAAGATGAGGGGTAATGGGTACAAGTTATTCCTGGGGAGATTCCGACTGGACACAAAAGGAAAATTTTTCGTAAAGAGAACAATCAGCCATTGGAATAATCTCCCCAGGGAAGTGGTGGATTCCCCAGTGTTGGATACTTTCAAGATTCAGCTGGACAGGGAGCTGTGCCGTCTTGTCTAGACTGCGCTCTTGACGAGAAAGGCTGGACCAGATGATCCTTGAGGTCCCTTTGAACCTGGTATTCTATGAATAATTGCATCAGCAGTTAGCATCCTGGGTGGGTCTGCATGTGAGCCTCCATGTAAACAAAGGGTGAGAGGTGTCTTCTAGGAGAGAAGCAGTGGAAGATGGAATAAATAGGCTTGGTCTAAAGAAAAACCCGGGGACAGGATAATATAACCAGAACTGCAGAACAAAAAGGCATGGAGTTAACTTTCAGCAAGGCAGATACAAATCAGATACAAGTCAGGCATAAGAAATAAGCTCTCTAACAATACAATGACTACCATAGAAGCAACACAGATGCTACCAGGACCTAGTCTGAATTCAGTGGCATCCCTGGCAGCAGCAGCCACCCTTGATTGTCTTTTGCCATACTTGTCTCCTTCTAACTCCATACTTGCACCACTATTTCCATTAAACTAATGGGAATAAATTCCAGATTGCAGTAGGTGTGTAGAGGGAAGGGCTTCACAATTTACAATGATGCCAACAAACCAGTCAGAACAATTTTTTTTTTTTTTTTTTTTTAAAAAGAAGGCTCACAAGGGCTAGTACTTCTTAAAGAGAAGCCAAAGCATTTCAAATGCAAATCTGGGTGAAACATAGCTGAACAAGAAGGCCAAGCAGTAGAAATTTCAGTGACACAGGCAGTTACTGGATATGCCGAGGCAGGTTGCTGGTTCCACTATTCCTCTCAAAAGGAGTCCCCTCTGGTGCATTTATTTTAAATCCTTTGATTTTGCACTTATAGCACTTACCCACTGGAAAACAACTCCAGGTATTAACAAGCCAAAACTCTTTATTCCTCCTATCTCACTTGAGACAAATATCCCTTAATATTCTTCCCTAATGCTTTTTTTTTTTTTTTTTTTAATGCTCTCCAGGCAGAAAAGAAATGGTCAAATCTGTACTAAAGAAGATTACTTATGATGGGCTTTTAAAAAATTATGCACACTAAGGCATAAAAGGATGTACGTTCTTAACCTTTCCCTTCCAAAGAAGCCGACCTTTTTCTATCCTGGACTGTATTTAGCTGATGTACATCTTCAGATGGAAAGATGACTTGATGCAAAGCCTGCTGGACTCAGTGAAAGGGCATCCACTGGGATTCACTAGCACTGAGCTAAGTCCACACTACTGCTGAAATTTCTTAGATTGTAATAATAAACAATATTATGAATGGTATCGCCTTTGTTATAAATCCAGGGACATAAATATTAAACTTGGCACTGCCTTCGAATTCCTGAAACGTGGGTTCTGAGAGCTCTCCATACTTGGCCATGCAGTTAACTACAATGAAAAAAAGCAGCATGGAATTGGGCAAAATGGTGAAAGTTCCATTTTGAATGGAAGTGCAATGAAAGGAATAGGTTTCACAGAGCAACCACAAATTA